GCAAGCTGTGCAGGTTCACGGGATGCTCCCCAGCCATAAGAAAGGGGCTCCTTCCCAGGGGAAATACTGGACAGCCTTGGGGTTGGGGATTCACATCCTCCCCACTGCTGGGGATGCTGCAGGGAGAAGGCCCGTCATTTAGTGAGTGCCAAGCACACAGCTGACCCCCATCTTACCTTCCTAAGCTCAATGCTGGTGTGTAGGCTCCTGTTCTGGGACCCTGGTTCTAGTTGCTAAGGCAGCCCACAGCTTCCATGGCCCAGGCCTGGGGCCCATTGATGGGACAGTGGTGTCACCCAGAGGCTCAGTGCAGGGAACCAGGAGCCACACAGCAGCTGCTCTTGCCTGCCTCTACCCGGCAGTTCTCAAGGGGGCTCCAGGACAGGTACTGGCATCTCTCTCCCAGCCTCTGGGGCTGCTGGCCATCCTCCTGTCCCTCGGCTGTCCCTCCAGGCCCCACCCACCCACTGCCCCTGGCTCTCTGCCTCTGTCGTCACTTGGCTTCTCCACTCTGCGTCTACATGTCCCTCTTTTTATAAGGATGCCGGCTGCTGGATTTCAGGCCCAGCCTAATCCACGGTGATCCTCTCTTGCTCACATCTGCAAAGACCTATTTCCAAATAAGGGCACAGATGCTGGGGTTAGATTTTAACAATTTGAAGGGGGGCGTGTCTTAGTGCAACCCTCCACAGGGAATCAGGACACGGAGCTGGGGAAGGGTGTTTCCATCCTCCATGGGGTGGTGAACAAAGGCCTGGTTGAGCGGGTGCCCTGGAAGCAAAGGTGTACAGGACCAGGGGGCGGCTCTTAAAGACCTCGGAGAAGACTGTTCCCGGCAGCGACTGTGACATGGGCAAAGGCTCTGAGCTTTGGGGGCCAAACACAATTTTTTGCAACTGGGGTCCTTATTTTGGCTGTTAGGGGACCCCTGGAGAGGGTGCCATGGGCCTCCATGAGATGAGGAGCCCCCTCTCTCAGCCAGGGCAGGGCCAGCCCGGAGGTCTGAGGTGGAGAAGGCAGGCCACGGTCTTTGCCCTCACCAGCCCCACATACTCACAGTCTCCGCCACAAGGTGCAGAGAGCTCTAGAGACCCACCCCTGCCGGTGGCCATGGGGTCTCTCTCCAGCATCTATGACCCGGGCTGTTTCCTCCTGGGCACCCCCTGAGCACCTGCTTGGCGTTACTTCCACGGTCACCACCATCCCCTGCCCTGACCGCTGAGACAGCAGGGGTTCAGGAAGGACAAGCCACTCCATCTGGGTCACCGGGCTCCCACCACACACTGAGTCGGCTAGAGACTGGGAGATGCCCACCAAAGCCTTGCAGGGTGGTGGCAGAGCCAGACTCAGGGTGCTGGAGCCGCACAGCAGGTGCCAGATGATTGGGGCAGGAAGAGGTGGGGTCGGGCTCAGCCTGCCACGACTGAGCCGAGTTCCAAAAGCGAGTTTCATAGGAAAGCATCGAGTGGGGGTCGGGCACCCACAGGCCTGGTCTCCCCAAAGGCGTCTTGCCCACAGCTCCCTTCCTATGGACCGGGCCTTGTGGGTGCAGAACCCAGGATGGCCTCTGGAGGGCAGCAGCGCCCCACCTTTCCTCGGACCTGCCCTGACACCCTAAGTCCAGGCTGGTGGCTGCAGGGCCAGGCATCCACCCACAGGGGTCAGCCACTAGCACCCCTACCCGACATACCCACACACCTGCCAAGGTGGCACCTGCACGTGGGCGCACACTATGCATTCCCCATTGCAGGACTGACACTGGGGCCCAGGGCGCTGATGCTGGGCATGGACTGGGCAGCCCCCGGAATGCTAGACAGGACCGCCCTTCCCACCACAACACCCAAGAAAATGCCGAGCCAGCCATGTGAGGCTGTGGCCCCCTCGCCTGGCACAGAGCAGCTCACACAGCGGCAGGCCCTGCAGAGGTAGGTGCCAGGAGATGCGGAGGCGCTAGAACGTCCCCTGCGGCCAGCATGCCCTGGCAGCTTGCCCGCTGCACTCGGGCCTAGGGTCAGTGAAGGGCCCAAGGTGCCTTGAAAGTTCACCCAAATGCACAGCCTGGGGGGGGGGTGTCAAGCGGAATCCTGATGGTGACTCACTTGACAATAGGCTTTTCCTGCAAAGGGATCCCAGAGACGGATCAGAAGGAGATCGTCACACCCAGCATCTCTGGGGCTGAGCCCCGGGACCTCAGATCACATCAGGGACTCACCAGGCGCTGGGCTGAGCACCTGCTGCATATAGGGCCTAGGGCTCCGTGCTGTGGGATGGACACTTGTAAGAACTGCAGCGGGAAGAGGCTGTACTAACGGAGGTATAATATCCCAAAGAGATACCACTGGCATGGCACTGGGTTCTGTTCAGAAGACCACATTCTGAAGGCTCCTGGGGAACATGCCAGGATACTGAACAGCCTGGATTCCATGTCATGTCAACAATGTCTAAAGAACATGATTAAAGCAGACAATGGGGCCATCTATAGTGGGAGCTCCCCATCCTGAACATATTCAAGCGAAGGCAAGGCGTTAGCTTCCTTGGTCCGGGTGGGCACTCAAGGGGTCTGTTTCAGTCCTTCACTCTGCCCCTCCTCAGTGGCCAGAGGGGTCTTCCCACCAGATCCGATCACTTTGTCCCTTTGCTCGGACCCCCAGTGGTTCCTTGCTGCACTGAGGACAAATGACAGACCCCCACCCCCACCCCCCGATGGCGAGTCTCCCACTCCCACCTCCGTCCTGCTCCCTCTACCCCAGCCCCTCAGCCCTTGGGCTGTCATTCTAACCCCAACTCCTGCCCAGAGGCTCTGCACCTGCTGTGACCCTGCCTGACACTCCTCTGTCCCCTTTCACCCCCCCAGGTCTCAGGCCCACTGGCCCTTGTAGGAGCAAGATGGTAGTGCTCCCCCCACACACACACTACAGGCTGCAGAGAGCTCCATGAGGGCAGAGAACACATCTGGTTTGTGCAGAGACATGTCTCCAACGCTGTGTACAATAGTCAGCACACAACAGGGGCTCAAAAAATATCTCCTCTGAGCGGGAGGAGGAAGGAGAGTGAGGAGGAGGAATCTTGCTCTGCGGGGAGGCTGCACTGGCCCCAGAGGAAGGGCCGGGACATGGGGAAGGAGAGAGGGGACGTTGGTCAGCTCTCTGACCACAGCAGGACATGCTGCCGTAACAAACAGGCCCTTTGCCAGGGGCTTCCAACTGAGGTGCTGGCCCCGCTCCACATGCCTTCTCCTCCGGGGTCACTAGCCGCAGGAGGGGTGGAGCAGGGACACGCAGCTCTCTTGGAGGAGGCCGAGGCCCAGTGACTTGCTGCCAGCACCCGATGGCTCTCAGAGCCTCAGCAGCAGCTCACCAGCAGCTCAGCGGGGCGTGAGGGTGCTCCTCCCACAGAGAGGGCTGCTGGTCTCCTGAGCAGGGGGCTGCATTTTCCAGTCACACCGGCCTTCCCCGGAGGGGTCGGGAGCTGCACAGGCAGACTGTGAGGGACAGTGGCCAGCCTCCCGCAGAAGGCAAGGCCACTGCCCTTGATGAAAGAGGCCACCGGGAGCCACAGCAGTTCCTGAGCAGGGACTGGAAGCTGCAAGCACATGCTGTGGTCACGGCCCTGGGCTGACGGGGATGCTGGGTGACAAGGCAGGTAGGAGGACCAGGACGACCAGGATGGCCCTGCCTGGAGGGATGGCCGATTGGCTCAGGGTGGATGCCGACCTGTCCCGGCCCCCGGTGCCTCCCAGAGCACCAGGGACCTGCTTCCTCTGCCTCTGCCCAGGGCGCCCACTGCGGACAAGACCTAGAAAGGCCAGGCTTGGAGTCCAGGCCCAACCTTGTGCAGGCCAGCAAGCACCACGCTTCCTTTCCAAGCCTCAGGGGATCATGGAACCACTCCCGGAGGAACAAGGGTAAAACACATTAATGAAACATTACATCTCCCTGCACTTGGGACAGGCAGGGTGACCATCCTCCAGGAGCTCAGCTGCCTCGATGCTAATAACTCCACCAGAGGCAGAGGCGACCTTAGCCTCACAGTAGCCCGACCGCCAGGATCCTGTAAAAATCCCTTTGGAAACTTCCTTTATTTCTCTGCCCCTGCCCCTCCCCAAGATATGTCTTAGCAGTCGCCCCCCAAGCCCATGGCCCCCAATATACATCTGCGGGGTCTCGAGAGCACAGGTTTATTAGGCAGTAGTAAACGACCTTCCCTTTTTATAAATTTTATTTTATTTAACTTCAATAAATTAACATACAGTGTATTATTTGTTTCAGAGATGGAAGTCAGTGATTCATCGGTTGCACATAACACCCAGAGCTCACCCCATCATTGCCCTCCTTCATGCCCATCCCCCAATGACCCCAACCTCCACCCCCTTTTTTTCCTAGAGTCAGAAGTCTTTCAGGCTTTGTCTCCCTCTCTAATTTTGGTAAAAGACCTTTCCTAACCGGCCAGTCCCTCCAGGTGCTGGGAACCTTGCTTCCAAATTCCTTAGAGACTTACAGTCTCCCTACCCCCCTCCCAACTTCAAAAGTATATAATCAGCCCCTCCTCCTGACCCCAGGGCAGCTCTTTCTGCCTCCAAGGGCCTTTCCCCCAGTGATTTAATAAAACCACCCTTTTGTACTGGAGACATCTCAAGAATTCTCTCTTGAATGCTCACGCCCGGACCCCAACAAGCAGGCCATAAAGGCAGCCAGAGTGCCTAGGGCCACGCTCGGCCACCTGCTGGCTGCCGCTTTTCAAAGAATCCTGAAGTCTGGGCCTTTTCTGTCTCACAAAGATCAGCTTCCGGGAGGGCTTCCCGAAGGAGGAGGCAGCCGAGCCAGGCCCGGAAGGAGAGCGGGAGCGGATTCCGGGTCACCGCCGGCCACCCCCGCCCCAGATCTGCAGGCCGGCCAGGGCAAGGTGGGCGGGCCGAGGGCGACACCGCGGCCTCTGGAGGTGAGCCCGCCCGCCGCCGTCACGTGAGCGCCGGCCAGGTGGGGACGGTGACGCAGGCGGCCCGCCAGGTGGCCAGGTGCCCCGGGGCCGCGCGGCAGGCCCCTCCCACGACCTGGGCGCCCACCTGTCCGGCTGGCTGAGCGCCGCCTCCCGCAGGGCCGCCAGGAAGCGGGGCGGGGACGGGGAGGGACCAGCGGTGGCTCGAGCTCGGCCGGCGTCGGCCGCCTGGCGGGGCGCGGTGCCCGGAGGCCAGACCTGCGCCAGTCGCCGCCCGCTGGCCGCCACGTCCTCGCCCGCAGCGCAGGTGAGCCCGGGACAGGTGAGCGAAGGGGGGCCGGGGGCCGGTGACCCTGGGGCGCGACCCCTCCGAGCCTGCGCGGGTCGGAGGAACTTCGGGGCGGGTCCCTGGGCGGGGGCTGCGGCAGGGCCGGAGCGTGGGACTGGCCCGGCTGGACCCAGGGCGCCGACCCACCCAGGCCGGACCCCACCCGCGGCCTCAGCAAGCGCCCTGCTGCTGCCCCCTGCCTTCCCTGGGGCCCAGGGGCAGCGTCCTCACCCCAGCGGGGATGCTTCTGTCCCGGGCTCTCCAGTGTAGACGGCAGAGCCTTAGACCGTAGGGGGGCCCAGGACTTTTGCAAATGAGGGTCAGGATGGCGGCAAAGCCACTCTCCCCAGATCTTTGGATAATCTGCTGTCCAAACCCGCGTTGGCCTCAAGAGCTAGCAACCCCCCAAATGAAGACTGTCCCTCCAACACACCAGAAAGAAATGCCCCCCATCACTGGTGGAGGTGGAGGGCAGACCCAGCCAGGCAGGGGGTGTCCTGCCTGCTTATATCTAATAAGGGGTGTGGGGGCAGCTCCTGAGGGCTGAGGACCCCACTTCCTGCTGACCAGCCTCCGTTTCTGCATCGGGGAAGCAAGAATCCCTTTGGAGATTGAGGTGGACCTCAGCCCAGCAGCCGGACAGGGCAGGGATGGGGGGAGCCTCTGCACCCGACCTGGGGCCCAGGAGTGCCTGACTCTCCCCTCTGTCCTTGAGGTGAACGGTCTGCTCCTCCTAGTGTGGGGGCTCCATGGGCACCTGCGGAGTCTGACTGGGACCTGTACACCTGTCTGCTCTGACAGCCCCGTGTTCCTTGGGTTCCATTCCTGGGTCCGTGTGAACTAAGCCCTCTGGGCCTCAGTGTCCTCATTCATAGAAGGGGACCAGTCAGAGTATCCACAGGCAGGGTGCTGGGGTCAGCTGCAGCTGAGCCTCTGCTCTGGACTCTGCTGGGACGATGCCCACAGCCACAGGCGCAGAACCTCTGACCAGGTGGCTGAGGGGCACTGCCCAGGGCTCCCTAGTCCTGGTGGGAAAGAGAGGCAGGAGAGAGGGTCTTAGGGGTTCCCAGAAGTAAAGTCTTAAGTCACTTGGACAAAAGTGACCTGGAGAGTAAGAGGGAGCCATCTGCACAGAGGCCCGCCCCCTGCCCGGTCCTGGACACCTTTGGGGAAGTCACCTGTGCCAGGAGGGCTCTCCCCACCCCACCCCCTGGGATGTCTCCCACCCTGCACGGACCAGCTCTTCACACGCGTGTGAGGAAGCGAGGCAGGCAGGTGAGCGGCCCGCCGGGGTGGCCAGGGTGCTGCCCCTGAGGACGGCAGTCTGTGTGTGTGGTCTGACAGGCACAGCCACTCACCCTGCATCTGGGCCCAGGATGTTAGTTTTGGTTTCCAGAAGGATTGCAGCTGCTTGTCTTCTTACCTGGGGCGGTTACCATGCTCGGGCGACAGTTCATGTGTAAGAGCATCCTGACTTGTAGGGAGAATCCCTGCTCTCCCGCTGGCCCGTCGGAATGGGATCTAGGTCAGCAGGGGCCTGGCTCCTCGCCGGACTCTCTGGCGACAGGCAGCCTGACCCCACCTGGCTTCCTCACCTTTCAAGGCATGTACCCACCTTCCAGAAGGTTGGTGGGGAATGGCAGACAAGTGAGGGGAAGAGCTTCTGGAAGACACCTGCTGGTCACCTGGCTAGGCTACCTGTGGGAGTCAGGGCTCTGACTTCCCAGCCGGGGCTTCTTTGGGGAAGCACTATGAATGTCAGCCAAGGCGGGCCAGGGGCCAGGTTTATGGGACGTCAGGAGTAAGAGACAGGAGCTGGGGAGCAATTGGAGGGCCTGTGAGGGGCAGCCCTGCAGGCTGAGCCAGGAGGGTGGTCTTTTCGGTGACTGATGCCCACGCCTGGGAGCCCCAGAGCAGGAGGCAGCAGGAGGCTTCTACACAGGGCAGGCCCAGCGTGACCCCTGCCTACTGCCAGACTGTGTGTGAGGCGGGGCCCGGCCAGGTGGGTGTCCCTGATCCCCACCACGAAGGAGGGGCCTCTGGTCAGTAAAGCCAGGCTCCCAGTCTTGGCACTGCAGGTGTCACTCCAGACAGTTCCTTATTGTGGGACACCCATGGCCTCCACCAACACAGGCAGGCTGGCAACTCAGCCTAGCTGCCACCTCTAAGAATGTCTCCAGAACTTGCCAGGTGTCCCAGGGACCTGGGGGGCAAAGCCGGCCCAGTTGAGAGTCCCTGAGAACCCCTCACCCCAGTCACCTTGCAATGGAACCGTGTGCCATGTGCTCTGCTCAAAAAGCCAGACACTGCCCCCAGAATCCATGCGACTCTGAGGTCTGAGCTCGGCCAGGCCCAAGGCCAGCCCTGTGGCTCAGGTCAGCCTGAGCAAAGACCAGGCTCAGGCAGATGGAGCCAGACAGGCCGGGCCCCACCAGGCAGGGTGGGGTCAGCAGACCCAGAGACCAGGGCAGGTGGGACAGAGCCCCCATAGATGGAGTAATCTGGGGCCCTGGTGGCTGTGGGAGCCGCTGTGGGCAGAGCCACAGGTCAAGGCCGATCCCGTCCACAAGGGAGTGGAATAGAGAGTGCCAAGCTCACCCAGGTCCCAGGAAGCCCATCTGTTGGGAAGGACGGGGACGTGGAGAGCACTAGGCTGCAAGGGACCCACCGGGCCAGGCTGCATCATGGCCAGGGTGGTACCAAGCGCAGCTTCGGCCTGGCCGGGCCAAGTCGGATCACCTGGTCCTTCCCGAACTCTCTACCTGCTGTCCTTCCTCCATCCTACATTGCAAGGACCCAACGAGTGACCGGCCTCCCCAGTCCCCCAGACACCTTGAGCAGAAACAGCAGGAAATCACCTGAAAGTCACCGGGAAGGTGGCACAGCCAGACCTGGAAGCCCCCTGTGATGGAGCCTGGTGCTTTCTGCTAGCTTGAAGCTAAGTGCCCCATGTGGGTGGGCTCCGGGCCTGGAACCCAGGGCCTCGTAGGAAGGATGCGGCACAAGGGTGAGGGGATGGAGCACAGCAAGTACCACGATGTCCAGCGGTCACTCCTCAGTTTGGGAATTGAGTCCACCTCCTGGTAGGGACGTGAACAGGAAATTGTCCCCATTCCCGAAGGACCCACAGACCCGTCAGAGAGACAGACTCTCCACTTGCCACCCTCGTCGCCCTGGCATCTCTGGAGGAGCTTTCCCAGGCTACCTGTGCTGGGGAGTGGACCCACCCCTGTGACGCGAGTGGTCACTGCAGGCCATCTGGCCTCCCTCTTGGCAACACTGTTGCCCAGACAGCGTGGCTGGCATCTGCCCTGAGGCAGCTGAGAGGAGAGTCTGCCCTCGGGTCCCCTGCCCCCGCACTGGCCCCAGGACACCAGGCGCAGGCCAGCAGCCAGTGAGGACACTGGGAGAGCCGCTCTGCAGAGCCAGCCAAGGGAGGGGCCCCGGGTACAGACGCTGGGGCAGCGGGCGCCCGAGGAGCCTTCGCTCACGTGCGTGTGCACACCCCGCACACAGGCCTCCCCACGCAATGCCGGTCCTCCCTGCTAAGTTGAAGCAGCCGGCCCAGCCGGCCCACCAGGTGTTTGAGGACAGCCTGGTGCTGCGAGGAGGCAACAGGGGCCGAGACAGGCAGGGGCTGGGCAGGGGCAGAAAGGAACTATGAACATCCTACAGTGGGAACTCGGGCTGCCTTGGGGGGGGGGGGGGACCAGAGGGAACAGGTTGGGGAAAGCGCGGAGGAAGTACACCAGGTGGGCCCGGCCTGCCAGACCCAGGGTCCGGGTAGTAAGGAGGCACGAGGCACGAGGCCATGGCTCGGGGGTGAGCACAGAGCTGTCCCCGGAGCACTGGGACTCTGCAGGCTGGGGAGAGCCTCGGGCCATCATCCAGGGAAGAGGCCTCCTCGGTTCTGGAAGAAAGAATCTGCCAGGGGACTCAATCTCAGCCAGTTACCAGCCCGAGGGACAGGGATGTACGCGTGCCAGGGAAGCTGCCTTGTACCGGGGTGGGGGTGGGGGTGGAGTAAACAACTAGGCTGAGGACTGGGGGCGGGGTGCCAGGGAGAGAAGGCGGGGTCTCTGCGGAAACACGGAGCCGGAGGAGCGATGCAGCGACCACATGGAGCACACGTCAAGGTCGCCAAGGCCTGGAAGCCAGACTGCGGGGTGGGGGAGCAGGAGAGCCCAGGGAGGCTAGAGGGAATTATTAACGAGGAGGCGGGGCACTGGCGTCCTGCCGGCCCAGCTGGCTCTGCTCACACCGACACCCCTGGCTACACTGGGGCTGGAGTCCCATCCCTGTGGCAGGCAGCGGGCAGCCAATCAGGAGCTCCCAGAGGAGCAGAAGTCAGGGGCCAGCCGCAGAGCATGGAGCGGTGGCCTCTGGGGGACCAGGCAGTAGAAGAGGGGACGTCTTTCTTTCACGAACAGCTTTTTGGTGCCACTGGAGTTCTGGACCCGTGTGCAGGGATTTCTGATAAACCGGATGTTCGGAGGAAGGAGACCCTGGGGTGCCCCTGCCGGCTGTGGCTCCCGAGAGCTGGCTGCGGCCGGCCCTGGTACCTGGACTGGTGGCACCCGGGCCTGTGGGTGCGGCCGCCTGGCTGGGAACAGGGGCCACACCCGGCAGTGGCTTGCCTGGCAGGTTCCTGCCAAGCACCTCCAGCCCCAGAGCAGACTTTGCCCTCCGCTGGGAGAGGCCGTGCCCCTGGCTGGGTCCAGGGTCCAGGCCCAGAGGACGGGGCTGTGAAGACCCACGCCTGGGGCCTAGGTTGGGGAAGGCAGGTCGGGGCCGGGTCCCATGGAGGGCCAGCCCGGTGCTGGCATTTCACTACCATGCTCCGTGCAGCAGTGTGACCTCCAGCTACTGTCACCTCTGGAAGAGGAGGCCTCAAAGAAGTTTCCGGGCTCCCTATGCTCTTGGGTGCACTTTGGTGGGAGTGCATCTAGCTCGATGTTGTCTCCCAGAGAGCCCTTTCTGGGCCAGGCCTGGCTAGTGCAGACGGAGTTAACATGGGGGTGGGTGAGCCAGGATGGCACCACCCGCCCTAGCTGCCTTTGACTCAGAATGTCCCCAGGAATGTGTGGGCCGTCCTCCAGGCGTGGGAGTGGCTGGGGCTCCACAGGCAGTCCCTCCCTGTGGCTGGGATGGTGTTAGCAGAGAACCTGTGTGCTGAGAGTGGGAGCACGGAGAGCCAGGCTTCCGGCTGCTGCTGTCACCCCGTCCATGCCATGGTGCAGGTCCCTCCACAGCCAGGCTGCCCCTCAGGGAGGGATTCTGGAGCTGAGGCCCGAAACCTCCCCAGGGAAGCACAAGGTGCAAGGCTGGGAGGCAGGCGTGGGAGGTAGGCCTGGGCTGGGACCTGCCTGGTGTATCCTGGGACGATGCGGGGGCGTCCCTGGGGTCCATGGAGCCCTCGGCTCCAGAGGCCCAGCGCCCGCCAGCACAGGCTTGGGCACCTCTGGCTGCAGGTGCCCTTGGGTATGAGGTAGCCGGTGACGCCCCTTCACCCACACGGGGGTGCTGGATAAATGGGCTGTGTTCCCTCCCAGGTCTGCAGGGAACTTGGCAGAGGGCACCACGCTGATGCTCTGAGCTGACTCTCGGCAGCCTGGGCTGGTGATTTGGAGACTTCATTTTTCCATCCAGAAAATAGAATTCCGCCCTCGAGTGACCCTTGTAACATATATAAGCCCTGCATCTGCAAGCAGGGTACGAGCAGTGGCTCTGCTTGCTTTTATCAAAACTAAAAGGAAAAGACACAGACCGAGTTTTCCGCAGTCCTGCGAAGTCCTCCTAACCTGGTGCCTGTCCACTTGTGGGTGTGGTGCAAGGAGTGGGAGCATAAGCTGGTCTCCCGTCGCTGCCCCGGCTTGTCGGCTGGCTCTGGCCACACTTCATGCTTGGGAGCCTGTGAGACTCCTGTACCTGCAGAAGGTGGGCCTCATTGCTACTCTGCCCACTTTGCTGATTTTGAGACAGAGGCACAAAAAGCAGCAGAGGGTGGTTACAGTGGTGGGCAGCCCCTCGGGATGGGTTGGTGGCTGGCCAGAGGCTGGTGCCTAGGAGGCAGGAGGCTTGTGTTGACTCTGGCCCTGAGTGGAAAGGTGGCAGTGGCCCCGTCCACACTGGCAGAGCAGTGTGCCTTCAGCCAGGATGAGCCAGGCTCAGCTGAACCCAAATGCTTCCAGACACCGGTCAGTGGGGCTCCACCCATCCAAGGCACTCAGGGTCCCAGGAGGGACGGGCATCCAAGGGAAGCACCCGAGGGACGCAGGAAGAGTAGGCTGGGGCTGTGGGCTTGGGCTCTGCAAACACTTCCCTCCTACCTTGGGTCCACCCACAGTGACCATACCCAGCAAGGCCCTGGAGGAAGGGATTGTTGGCCCCGTTCTGAGTTCATATATGTGGGAAAATGCAAATGTGTCCCTGGACGTGCAGAAAAGCTGAGTAGACAGCCAGCCGTGGTGGCTTCGCCACATGGGGCAGGCAAGGGAAAGGGTCTGGAATCGGCAGGCCTGGGTTCAGGTCCCCGTGAGCCACACTTCCTGGCTCACATCCCAGGACCATCTCCTGGGCTTCTCCGGGCCTTGTTTCTTCCTTTGCAAAATGAAAATAAAGACAGCCAGTGTGTTTTGGGAGCGGGTGAGATCATGCATCTAACCCAGCATAGCAGAGCCTGGCCCTGCGTGCTCAGAAGTTGGGGGTGACACAGAGGCTGGGGTCATAGCCACGTTGTCCTAAGCAGGCCTCAGAAGAGCCCCACAGATGGCATCGTCCTCATGCTCTCACTGACCAGGGAGAAATGGTGCTGAGAGGCCCTGGGGCTGACCCAACTTGGACCTGCAGACCCCCAGGTCTGTGCACTCCTCACTGCCCATGCTTGCACCCCCAGTGAGGGCATACGGACCCACCAGAGGAAGCACACTGGTCGCCTGTCCTCTGCCCCTGTCCCAGCAGCCAGGTCCCTGCAGGCCTGAGTCTCCCGACCCTGCGTGCACCTCCCTGGGCCTCCCCAGCCCTGCTCCAGGCATCCTGAGCAGGGTCTCTGGCTGGGGCGGATGCTGGGAAGCAGTGGAGGGGCCTGTGTGCAGGGAAGCTGCAAGGTGGACGTCTGTGTGCTGCCCTCACCTCTGCCCTCTTGTCCCAGGACACTGTGGCCAGTCAGCATGTCCCAGCGACACTCGGACAGCTCCTTGGAAGAGAAGCTGCTGGAATACCGCTTCCACTCAGAGCTACGGCTTGATGCCAAGGGGAACCCGGCGTCAGGGCTCCCGATGGTCCGGGGCTCCCTGCAGGTGGACAGGGACAATGCCCCCTTCCAGGTGGATACCTCAGGGCCCCCACCTCTGTCCCCTAAGGACCAGGAGCCACGGACCGTGATCCTGAGCACGCAGAGCCCTGCAGCCCTCAAGATGGGCACTCAGCAGCTGATCCCCAGGAGCCTGGCCGTGTCCAGCAAGGCCAAGACCCCAATCCGCCACCAGAGCTTCGGGGCTGCCGTGCTCAGCAAGGAGGCTGCCCGGCGGGACCCCCAGCTCCTCTCAGCCCCCAGCTTCTCCCTCGACGACATGGATGTGGACATGGGCTCCGAGGGAGCGCTGAGACGGAACCTGAGGAACCGATCATACAGGGCGGCCATGAAGGGCCTGGGGGCTCCCAGTGGGGACAGGGGCCCCAGCCAGCTCAGCCCCAAGCTCCAGGCTCTGGCCGAGGAGCCCAGCCAGCCTTCTGCGCGGTGCCCGGCCAAGAATAAGGTAGGGGGCCTGTCTGCCTGGAAGAATAAGGTGGGGAGGGGCTGTGCCTCGAGGGGCCTTGGGAGCTTGTAGGCGTGCCCCTGTGTGCCCCTATGTGCCCCTGCATGCCACTAGCCTTGGGGCCTCACCATCACATCGCCTGATCCTGCAGCTGGCACTCAGTGAGCACCTCCTGACTCAGGTGTGCAGGCTCCTGACCCAGGTTTTCCGGGTTAGGTGTGATGGGCAGGCTCTGAGCAGAGCATGAACGTCGCCGTTTTACAGAAAGGCCAAGGCGTCTCCCTTCTCTCAGCTGCCGTGGGGAGCATAGCCTTTGGGGGGACCAGCCTCTCTGTGCCCCAAAGGTAGCCAGCCCGTGTGAAGGCTGAGCTTCAGGGAGGGCTTTGGAGCAGCACCTGGCTCGGGTCACCCTGCCCCAGGCGCCCCATCGGGGACTCAGCAGCCGAGCACATCTGGCTCAGGAGAGGTCTGATGCCCCTCGACGTGCACACGCTCCTCTGCCCGCCTGACAGCCGCTCTACCTCAGTGTTCTCAGGCCAGCGGGCGGGCATAGGCACGTGGGAAGGGCGGCCTAGCTCGGGTCCCCACGCTCAGAGTTGAAGTTCTCTGGCACGCAGAGGGGAGTCCTGGGACCATCTTGGCCGCTGTCCTCAGCTGAAAGGTGCCCCCTGAGACGCCCGAGCCCCCAGGAGCTGCCTCGGGGCCTCGGCACTCTGCAGCCACCCAGGCCCTGCCCGCTGCTCGTTTGCTCACTCACAGGTGGTTTCCTGAGCTCTCCTGCACCTGCTGCTGGGGTGCCAAGGGAGCCAGGGGAGCCCCGAGAGCAGGCCCCCAGGGAGCTCCCAGGGCAGTGAGCAGGCAGGGGTGCGCTGGGGTGCTCAGATCCGGGCTGGGAATGCAGGGGTGCCCAGGGTGGGGGTATGGTTCAGGTGAAGAGGTGGTGTGGACGAGAGGCACAGGCCTGAGGCAGGAGGGGTGTGGAGGGGGGCGGTGGGGGGGCAGAGCCAGGTGCTGCTGGGGTGCCACACATTCCAGCCCAGCAGTGAGAAGTCTTCAGGCCCCAACGCGTTTGAGAAACCAGCTCACTTTCTGGAACCAGCACAGCTTCGAGGTCAGGAAAAACAGTCCCAGCCAAGTAGGTAGGACCCAGTAGATGGTGGGTGGGGCAAGGGCTGTGCCTACCCACCCCCCTCCGCCCCAGAGAGCCTGGCCACCCCCACCTTCCTCTGCAGCCCTGGCAGAGGCTGCTGGGACCCCAGACCTGCTCTGGGAGCTAGACACCAGCCTGCCAGTCTCGGTCCTTCCTGCCGCCCCAGGTCCCAGGCTGTGTGGGGCCCCACGTGTGCCTTCTCAACCCCCACCAGCCAGACCTGGGCCGCCTCCCGGGGCTTCCTTCAGACCCCATTGGAATACCCCGCTGACCTGAGCACCTGTTTTGATTTGTTCGACCCTTCTGCCTCCTCCTCCAGGCAGCCCTCCTGGATCTGCCTGGCTCTCAGTCAAACTGCCCTGCCTGTTCTGAGCCCCTGTGTCACCCCATCCTACCTGCCCTGGCCTTCGCTTGGCAGCCCTGCTTCCCTCGCTGAGCCTGCATTTATTGAGCAGCTTCTGGGTGCCCAGAGGAAACCCCTCCTGTTGAGCATGGGGTGCGGTGAGGTCTCCGGGCCCAGAGGCTGGAGGACCTGCTGCAGACTCACAGCGGCCTGCCCTCCCGGCTGACTGCTGGTGTCTCTGTGTCTCTCCAGTTTGCGCAGAAGACGCTGGGGCGGAAGCGCGCCCACAAGGGCTCCTTCAAGGACGGTGAGTGTAGCCGAGGGAGGCGGATCAGGGGGCTGCCGTGGGCCAGGCTGGGGGTGGGGAGGCTGGTGCTGTGCAACAGAACCCGCTGAAGGGGCGTCCTCCTGGGACAGGAGGTCCTGGTGGCTCGTCCGGCCTGGTCGTTCTGAGAGTCTAGAGAGTTCCCTTGGGCTCCCGTCTGCACCTTACCAAGGGCAAGAGACAGGCAGAGGCCCCACAGTCACCCAAGGAGGGGGCTGTCGCATATCGTGTGCCCGGCCCAACATGGTTGCACCTCTGGGACCAAGGTCAGCTGCAGGGCGCTGGCCCTGGGTGTGGACACCTGTGCTGTGTGCATCGCCCGTAATTTCCCAGCATGCAGGGGTGCAGTGTTGGGGGCTCAGGAGGGCTCAGAGCAGGGGAGGTAGGGGTAGGGGCCTGCCCAGCCAGGATGCAGCCCTAGTAGCTGTGAGGGGCAGGGCTCCTAGGGTGCCCTGGAGGGGGAGACAGGACGGCAGGAGGGGTGGGGAGGGTCGCCCAAGGCCAGGCACCGCCCATCCCGGGGGGGCTGCTGCAGAGCTGAAAACGGGACAGGGCACCTGGGGGCTGTGCTCCAGGGAACCCGCACCCAGTGCTCTCTGCCCAGTCAGGGAATAGCCCCCACCCCGGGAACAGCCCGCACCCGAGGTGGCTGCGCTGATTCGTCGGCTCAGCGCTGGCCTGACGGTGCCACATTCTGCACTGGGACGTCACCCCCGTCCTGTGCTGGGCCTAACCTGCCATGGGGGCCAGCCAGCCTGAGGGGAGCCTGCTCCGGGGGGCCCTGCGCTGCCTGACCCTCTCAGAGCCTCCTTGGGAGGCTTCAACCTGCAGGTTCCCAGGGAGCCCCAGCTGCTCAGAGCCCCCAGGTCAGCAGGTGACACCCCGCCTCTCCCCAGACCCCGGGTTCTACCAGGAGATCCGGGAGCGGGGCCTGAACACCAGCCATGAGTCCGATGACGATATGCTCGACGAGCCGCCCAGCCCCGATGGCACAGGAAAGGCGGATGCGCCCATCGTGGTCAAGAGCTACCGGCCTGCACAGATCACCTGGAGCCAGCTCCCAGAGGTAGGGCCAGGATGGTGGGCGCTTGGCCCCTCCGAGCCAGCCTGGGCCCCCTAATGTGGGGAGCAGCCTTCCCAAAGTACCTACTATGCCCAGCATGCAGGGGAGCCCCTTCCTGGTGCCCTGAGAGCTGCCCTGCCCCGAGGGCACTCTGAGCTTAGTTCCATGGGGTAGAGCAGTTAGGGCCGAGCGCTGTCGCTGTGTGTGTGACGAGCCTCCCTCAGGTGAGCTCCTCTCCAGCTCCCTACTCAGACCAACCTCCTGGAGCTGTGGGCAAGGGACCCCCTTCCTAGGGCACCGCCCCCAGGAAGATGCCAGGAGGGCCCGAGTGGGGAGAGGGACGGGCCTTGGCTTTGGGAGAGCCTTGTGCCGCAGGTGGGGTGGGGGGGCCCGGGGGGAGCCTGGCTGAGACAGAGGCTCTGGTGCCCTGAGCAAGTGGGGGTGGGGGGTAGCCGTCCCTCCCGAGGAGGGCAGAAATGTGCTGACCCATTCCCTGAGAGCCTGCGGCCTGTGGGCAGGGAGGCATCGGCGTGTGCGTGGTCTCCTGGGTCCGGTCACCCGCCCCAAACAAGCAGCACTTTGGCCAGGGCGGCCCAGGGGCTGCTGAGCCTGAGGCCATGGAGAACTGGACCATCTCCCAGGCCCCGGGATGGGGCGCAGACACACCTGGCCAGCTTGCGGCCCATCCCTGGCATGGTTTTCCCACGTGGCTTTGTGTCTCTCCACGCCTAGACAGCTCTGTGGGACAGAGGCCCCTCCTCGTCCTCAGGGGTCTGCTGGCCGCTCCCCAGGATGCCCGACTTCTCCCTTGGCTGCCCCGGGCTCTTCGGAGGAAGGGCGGGCTTCCAGGGAGGGCTGAACCCGTGACGCCCAGGCCTGTGCCCTCCTCAGGTGGTGGAGTCGGGCCTCCTGGACACGCTGCCCCCCGAGGAGCGCAAGAGGCAGGAGGTAAGGGGGCTGGGCAGGGGGCCAGCCCTGTGCCCCAGATCTGGTGGCCACACATCTGCGGGGCAGGACCAAGGCCACGGTGAGGCCTCTTGCCCACCCACCTGTTGGCCATCTCCTGTGCCAGCCCCTGGGATCGTGGCTGATGCCCTTTGGGGGAGGGGGCTACCATCACCCCTCCTTGGATGCAGGTAGGGGTCCTTGCCAGCATCACAGCTCGTAAGAGGCCGAGCCAGAGCGCATATGGAGGTGTCGGGCCCTTATGCCCATGGCCGTGCTCACACCACCCCAGTTCCGGTTTCAGGGCCCAGGTCCAGCCTGCCCTGCCCCCTGCCCCCTGCTCCTGCCCCCAAGGTGCAGGGTGGCCCTGGCAGCTGCTGTCCCCCCTCCAGGCCATCTTCGAGATCCTCACGTCAGAGTTCTCGTACCAGCACAGCCTGAGCATCCTCGTGGCCGAGTTCCTGCACTCCAGGCAGCTACGGGCCACGATGACCCAGACAGAGCACCACCACCTCTTCTCCAACATCCTGGATGTGCTGAGCGCCAGTCAGCGGTGAGGCCTGCGCCCAGCTCTCCACCGTGCTGCGAGGGCCACCTGGCCCTGAGGCACCATGGCCATGGGGTCTCGGGGTTGGGGGGGGTGGGCAGGGCGAGCAGGGCTCCAAAGACTTTCAGTGTGGGACCACGGGCGGAAGGTTGAGAGGAGCTGCTGGCCGGGAGGGAACTCGACCTCCTCAGACCTCAAGGCCACCGAGACTGGGCCCCATGACAGGCTGAGCACTGGGTCTGTGGGCATCCTGGCACCCGCCCCCAGCACCCCATCCCTCGGATGTTTGGGAGGGCAGAGTACCTGCCCCAGGACACTGCCCTGCCAGATGACACGCACGTTCCCACCAGGATATCAGGTGCAGGAGGCTGAACGACGAGGTGTGAGGTGGCCAAGGGACGGGGCAGGCGGGGGTACCTCGAGTTGCAGGCCCGGGTCATGTTCTGCCCGGCAGTGTCCGGTGCCCATCCCAGGCTCCGGTTGCAGGGCCCAGAGGTGGAGGAGAGGCCAGGTGTGCAGCTGCAGGCCTGCACAGGCCCTGTGTGTGCACCCACATGCCAGAGGGAAGGTGTGTCTGTGCTTGCACAGGTGTGTGCATGGAAGCCACAGCCCCAGACGGCCCTGGGCCCCAGGAGACCCCATGACACCCTCCCTCACGCCTCAGCATCCCCCCCTCACCTGAGGAGGTGGGTCCCCTGAGTCTCCTCGCAGACCAGGGCAGGGGCAGGTGAGAGAGGGTGGCTCATTCATGTCGACATCGGGCCAGTCCCCTGAGCCCCACCCGCACCTGCTACCTGTAGCCTCTGTGAAGTTTCGGGGCCACATGGTGGGAGGGGGTGCTGTCTTGTCCCTGGAGATGGGTCTTCCTGCAGAGCTGCAGTGCCCAGCTTGCAGCCCCTGACTCCATGGGGGCCTGGGTAAGCAGCGGCCCTTCCACCCAGCTCTGCCCCTTTGCTTGATGTCCCACTGGCCACTTCTGTTTATGCTGAGCAGCCATCAGTTGCTTCTGACCCTCGGGGCCTCTGATCGGCCACCACTGTCCCAAGGTAGGATGGTCCCACCTCCTCCCCCAGCTGGGTCCTGGCAGCTCCGAGCCATTCACGGTGGCCTCCCTGGAACTCGGTTATCCTGGGTCAGCAGCTGATAGCTACCTTTCCCAGACGCTCCTCAGAAGCCCACGGAATCGCCCGTGGGAGGTGCTGGCCAGCATGGCCCTGCACCTGGGCAGCTGGGGCCTCCGTACGCATCCCTGTCACGCTGCCCACTCTGCCCAGGCTGCCCAGGAGTATGACTCTCATAGTTCCCCCTTAGGGGACACACAGGGCCCCTGAAGGTGGAGGTCAGGCTAAGGCCCCATGAGCAGGACCTTGTCCCCTGTCCCTGGCCTTACCAAGGGAACCAAGGCAAGGCCCCCATCTTCCAAGGGGGTCCCCAGATTGGTGGGGTGGCCCCCCCAGTGGTCCCCCCGCCACAGGAGCTAGGTGAGGCAGGTGGCAGGCCCCTGGTGCCCTCACTGTTGAGGACCTGGGACCTCCTTCCCACCCTGGCCTTGTCCCCAAGCCCTGTCTCTGTCACAGTGCTGGATGCCCCCCGCCCCCCCATCAGCTAGGGTAAATAGTAAGGGCAGCGGAGCTGGTTGCCCTCGGCCTGGTCAGTCCCTGGTTGCTGGTCTGGGTCGCCTGGGAGGTGGATGTGTGCTTGGGGAGAGGGTCGCCTGGGAGGTGGATGTGTGCCCTCCAGAGGTCAGCCAGCTGTCTTCTCTCCCAGACCGGACCGCCTGGAGCAGTCCCAGGAGCCCGCTACACCGGGCTTTCAGAGTCGGTTTCAGGAGAGACGCTGCCATCGGAGTAGTTGGAAGCCCAGGATGGGGCTGAGGAGCCTCAGGGAGGGGGTGAGAGGGCCTCCCAGCGGCCTAGGCTATGGCCTGGAGAGGTGACACTGCCTGGGGTCTGACCGGTGTCCTCGCGTACCAGATGTCCTGGTGCAGGTGCAGCCAGGCCCGGCTGTGGCAGCAGCAGTCAGCACCATCTCTGTGGCCAAGGCCCGGGTCACAGATGATCTCAGAAGGGGACCCCAGGAGGAAGTGGGGCCTGGTGGCCACCGCTGGAAAGTCCACCCAGAGCTTTCTCACACGGAGCTGGGCGGAGGACACCAGGGCTCCAGGCAGGGGTGACCCAAGTCCAGGGACTCAAATCAGAGTGACAGGTTCTCAGTCCTGCCTGTCTGAATCCTGGGGGCCTGCTGGAGCCTCTGCCAGCCTCTTGGCAGGAAGTGGCCCTGGATTTGCCCAGTTATTTCAGGCATAAGAAGCTGATCTGCCCTGGGGTTTCCCCAGGAAGGTGTGGGCTCACAGCGGCCTGGGCAGCTGGTCCCCCACACACCTGCCGCGCTGCTTCTGGGGGCTTCACCGCGGTGCTGGACGGCTGGGCCCTCACCCACCCCGCCCCTGTAGGTTCTTCGAGGACCTGGAGCAGCGGCACAAAGCACAGGTGTGCGTGGAGGACATTAGCGACATCCTGGAGGAGCACGCCGAGAAGCACTTCCACCCCTACGTTGTCTACTGCTCCAACGAGGTCTACCAGCAGCGCGCCCTGCAGAAGCTGACGTGAGCGGAGCTTCCCGGTGCCCGGGGTCTGCTCTGGGTGCCTTGCGCCAGGAGCACATTCCTGCTCGCAGCCCGGCTTCTGTGGGCACCCACTGACCTCCCGCCACTGCATCTCTGTTGCAGAAGCAGTAATGCTGCCTTTCACGAGGCCCTGAAGGAGATCGAGAAGCGTCCCGCATGCGGGGGTCTCCCCATGATCTCCTTTCTGATTCTCCCCATGCAGAGGGTAACCCGGCTGCCCCTCCTGACGGACGTGAGTACTCAGCACAGAGTACCAGGGGAAGGAGGTCGGCCTGGCCCCCCTTTCGCGACTCCCTCCCCCCTTCCCCGGTGCTGCTCAGTCTGAGATGGCTTGAACAGCTTTTGCCCAAGAGCTCCCTGCCTGGAGCTTTCCAGCACTTCCTGGAAGGTTCTCGAGGTTCGTTCATGTGGATGAGGCAGAAACAGTGTCACCCAGACCTCTCCTGAGCATGGGTCCTGGGCCACTGCCTCCCACCCAGGATCCTCGGCCCACTGTCCCCGGGTGTGGGCCCCCAGGGCAGCCCGGGCACCACTCACTGCCCCTTCTGTGGGCAGAGAGAGGAGCTCATGCCTCTCAGATGTCTGCTCCTGGTGCTGAGGGGCAGGTGGGGCCAAAGGGCATTTGTGCACACGTGTGCACATGCACACATGCAGGCGTACACTCAGCACACACACATGTACATATGCACACATAAGCACGCACATGGCGGGAGCCCGGCTAGGCCCCCAGAGGCAGCATGCGGCTCATGCTGGAGGATCATCTGTCCGGGCCTCTCACAAGTACAGAAACAGGCTGCGGGCCGCCCCCAGACTGGACCGAGACAGCCCAGGACTGGAATGGCTGGGGTCCTGGGACAGTGCCCCCGCTGCATTCCCACCAACCAGCCAGGCTGTGTACCCCAGTGGGGCCTGGCAGGAGCTGGACATGGGCTCCCCACCTCCCCGCAGCCCCCACCGGGGTCTGCTGTTCGTAGGGGGCGCCTCTGTCTACGCAGGCCCGTGAGCCTGGAGTGCAGAATGGTACTTGGTGTCTGACCTGCTGGGTCCTCTCTGCAGACCCTCTGCCTCAAGAGTCAAGGCCACCCTGAGAGATACAAGGCCGCCAGCTGCGCACTCAAGGCCATCAGCAAGGTGAGGGGTATCCAGGGGAGAGGAGGGGGCACCTGGACCAAGCACAGCCCCCAAGTCTGCCCCTACCCCACCCAGTAGTGGAGACCCTGAGGGCAGGGGAGGGAGGGCTTCCACATTATCCATCTCAAGCTTTTCATGGTGCTGATGGGGAAACCAAGGCCCAGAAGGGGTGAATCTTGAACTCAATCAGTGAGCCTGAGTTAGGGCAGCAGCTAGGACAGCCCTGGGGTAGGGTGGGGGTGCCTGGGCCGTGGGGTGGCTGGACCACAGCCCACAGCACAGCCCAAGTTAGGGCTGCGGTTAGGATAGCCCCGGGGTCGGGTGGGGGGGTTCCTGGGGTGGCCAGGCCACAGCCCACAGCACAGCCCAAGGCAGGGCAGCAGTTAGGACAACCCTGGGGTTGGGTGGGGGAGGGGGGTTCCTGAGGTGGCCAGGCCACAACCCACAGCACAGCCCAAGGCAGGGCAGCAGCTAAGACAACCCAGGGGTAGGGTGGGGAGTGCCAGGGCAGCAGGGCGGCCTGACCACAGCCCACAACACAGCCTGCTCTCCGGGTGCCCCCCTCCCACAGCTGGTGAGGCAATGCAACGAGGGAGCCCATAAGATGGAGCGCACAGAGCAGATGTACACGCTGCATACACAGTTGGATTTCGGCAAAGTCAAGGTAGGCATCGGGCCTCCCCTCAGCCAGCCCCTTGGGGGTCAGGGTCATGGCCCCTGGGCATTCGAGCTGGAAGGAGGCCTTGCCCCAGCCTCTCCGGGGGCACCGTCCCTTGTGACTCCCACTCCCCTTGGCCGCAGAGGCTCAGCTCTGCCGCCCTCCTGCCTGGGGCTGGGTGGGTGTAGGGGGCTCTCTGGCCCCTGCCCCCACCCCAGGGCTGCCCCAAGGGGCTGGGCCAGAGGGCATGCCGTGGTCCAGGGCTCCTGGCAGCACACTGAGAACAGGGAAGGGATGGAGTTGGGGCCTCCTGTAAAGCCAGGAACTGTCCCTCAGCCCTGGAGAGGGGGCCTAGCCAACCTGCAGGCCCTCCCAAGCAGGCAGGGCTCACACCTCTGTCCCCGAGTCCCTGCGCTGCTCCAGGCCATCAGGCTCCTGCTTCTGCAGGAAGCACCTCCCTGGGAGGGGGACATCCAGCCAGAAACAGACACTTCCTCGTGGGAGCTGCTCTGCAGGAATTGGCCTGGAGGCAGCTCTGTGGGCCGAGCCTCCGCTTGTCATCACTCAGGCTGGGCCCCTGACCTGGAGGCTGCCCAGCAGGCCGGAGCTTGGGGGAGTGGGTGCCGTGGGCAGGGCAGGGCACGAGGGCCACAGAGCGATGGAGGGAGGACCCCGAGGTCCAGAAGAAGGTGTGAGGGGTGTGTGGAGGCTTCCCCAGGACGGCCTGGTGGACTGTCCTGCTCGCTGGGCGGGACCTGGGCCGGGGACCTGGCACAGAGCAGCTGCCCATCTGTGCCTGCTGGCCACCTGAATAGCCCTTTGTCTGAGGCAAGGACACATCTCGCCCCCATCCTCGGTCCAGCCCAGGGCGGCCAGTCCCCCGGTCCTGGGTGGTAGGGACTGTGCTGGACATCCTTGCCCGTCCTCCTCACCCCCACCCTGACTCAGGCAGTTCTCTGGTTCTTCCCTCCAGTCCCTTCCTCTGATCTCTGCCTCCCGCTGGCTGCTGAAGCGTGGGGAGCTCTTCGTGGTAGAAGAAACTGGGATTTTCCGAAAACTGGCCAGCCGGCCGACGTGCTACCTATTTCTGTTCAATGACGTCCTGGTCATTACCAAGAAGAAGAGGTGAGCCTGTGATGGGGCCAGGAGGGGCAGGGGGAGCCGCCCAGCCTCCTCCGACCTCAGGATTGGGAGAGGCTCCAAGCCTGGATTGTCCACGGTGGCGGCCAGGGTCCCCCTCCGTGTGACATGGGGGTCCCCCTCCAAGTGACTTGGGGTGGCTGGGTGTTTCTCACTGTGGGGCAGGCCTGAGCTGGCCTGCCCAGGCCACAAGGACAAGGAGACACACAGTCTCTGTCCTGGGAGGCAGTTCTTGGGAGCGTCCAGCTGGGTGGGGACCCAGGCTGCCCACACCCCCCCCCCATAGCATCCAACTGCCTGTCTCCCCACAGCGAGGACAGCTTTGTGGTACAGGACTATGCCCAGGTGGACCACATCCGGGTCCAGAAGATGGAGCCCTCCGACCCCTCTCTGGTGGGGGGTAGTAGCCGCAGCTCCTTGGTGCCACACGTCTTCCAGGTGACCATGCTGCACAACAGCGAGGGCCGCCAGGAGAAGATCCTGCTGTCCTCCGACTCCGCGTGAGTTGGGGGAGGGCTCCCAGGGGGAGGGTGTCCATGCCGTTCTATTCTCAAGCACTGCCGTGTGCCGACACAAGGGCAACCTGGTCCTCACGGAGGTCACATCTCTGGGACAGCAACCCATCAGCCACAAAATGAGCAGCTGTGTCCAGGGAGTGCAGACTGAGGAGGAGCACAGGGTGGGGAAGGGAGTGCCAGGTGGGGGCCGGTGGGGAGGAGGACCTGGTGGAGGCATGGCAGCGCAAAGGCCCTGAGGCAGGAGGCCTCTGCTAAGAAGCAGCCGGTGCCGGCGGGGGCTGGGGCGGTGGAGGTCAGAACAGTCTGGAAGTGGGGTGGGCAGCACACGGGTGCCAGCACAGTGGGGGCTCAGACAACGGGGGAGGAGACAAGGGTGACTGATCTCCACAGTCCCTTCAGGCAGCGGGAGGTGGAAGCTGACGGTTTAAAACTGAATTGATAAGGGACAGTGGGCTTGGGGCCCAGCACCAGCAAACAGAGTGGCCCAGGTCATAGGGGTGTGTCTGCACGTGACCCCATGACTCTGGGAAGGTGAGACTCAGGGTTGGCCTGCCTGTGGCTCCTTCCTGCCCCGTGACTTCCCGTGTGTGGTCCCTCGGTGGTTAAGGGGGGGTCACAATAGGGTGCCGAGCAGCATGAACCTTCAGCACCACAGCCCATCACAGGGCTGTGAGGTAGCCTCACAGGGCTGGGGGGCATGCTCCAGGGACCCCCGCCCATCTCCCCACGCTGCCAGGTGGGGACAGGGTCATGAAGCCTGAGGCCCCCAGGCAGGCAAGGTTGGCCCAGGGCCTGACACAGCCTCTCTCCAACCCCAGGAGTGACCGGGCCCGGTGGATCACGGCGCTCACACACAGGGAGAGGCAGGGACAGGGCCCCACCAACAAAGGAGGTAAGCACCAGACGCTCCACGCTGAACGGGGCTCATAGCCCCAGCCCGGGGCAGGGGGCTAGCACGGAGCTGAGGCATCGTCCAGACCTCTGTCCTGCCTGCCCCCCGGGGTGACCGCCCAGGTGAGGGACCCCACAGCCGGGTATGTATGTATGCACCTGTGCACACGGGGCCTCCCCTTCTGTGCGGGAGGGAGAATGCTGCCCCATGCCCAACAACTAGAGCAGAACGGGCCGCAGGGGTGGAGTTAGATGGTGCTGCCTCTGCCGGGGCTGGTGCTTTGGCCCTGAGAGCAGGGGCAGTCTGTCTGGTGGCCTCTGGAGGGAAGCTGCCATGTGTCCAGAGCCCCCCAGGCCCCAGTGAGACCAGGCCATGGTGGAGCCATGCCTGACTCAGGGCAGCAGGACTCCTGGCCCAGGCCCTCCTGGGGACAGCGGTGTTGCTGACACCCCCACCCTCACCCCCACCCCCCAGACCTGCTCCAGGTCGAGGTCACCAAGGCTTACTTGGCCAAGCAAGCGGATGAGATCACGCTGCAGCAGGCGGATGTGGTCCTGGTGCTGGAGCAGGAGGATGGTGAGTAGAGCAGGGCCGGGTGTGTGGTGGTGGCAGGATGTAGGTGAGGTGGCCCCCAGAGGGAGGGCCTGACAGCCCCACGAGGGAGCACACCAGATGCGGGCAGCTGACCCTGAGCCTGGCCCCCTGGAAGCAGTTTCTGCAACTGCCCATGGTGGGTCTGGTCCAAGGTCCCCTCAGCACCTTCCTTCAAGGACATCTTCAGACCTCCCTCAGTCACAGGATCAAAATCCACTTCTTTGTCATTCTGTGTCCTGAGCAGGAGGAGGGTGGCTCTGCTACCCCTGGGGGCCCCTGTACTCGCCTGCACAGGGCATGAAAGCTGGCTGGAGGGAGCTCAGCCCCTGACGCCAGTGTCCAGGCTGAGCACCTGCTGGAGGACCAGGTGCCTGTGTGACCTGGCCCCTGGCCCCCTGGGCAGGAGCGGGTGGTGGTCTGCTGCAAGGGGGCCTGGCCCTGGCGTCTTCTGGCACAGCAGCTCAGAGGGCTGGGGGTGCGGGTATGGAAGCCCCTCCCTGGAGCCTGGACTCCGCCCTCACCTGCCCCACATCTGTGTTCAGGATGGTTCTATGGCGAGAGGCTGAGAGATGGGGAGATGGGCTGGTTCCCTGAGGACTTTGCCCGGTGCATCACCAGCCGCGTGGCCGTGGAGGGCAACGTGCGCAGGATGGAGCGGCTGCGTGTGGAGACGGGCGTGTAGCCTGTTGTGCCCAGCACAGAGGCCAGGCTGCTGCTTCATGCCGTGCTCCAGGAAGCAGCCTGGTCCTTGGAGTGCGGTGCGCTTGTCCTAGGAACCCAGACAGTCCGTGGGTCTCCGTGAGGCCCCGTGGTCCACAGTGCCGGATCCAGACACTTCCAGGGAGGGCGATCACATGTGCTGCCCGCCCCCGGGAGCATCCTCCAAACAAGCTCTCAGGGCCACAGCAGCCCGACCCCCGGCCTCCCCTGGCGTCCTGCACACCCCTAGGGCAATGGTGCAGGGCAAGTGATGCAGGATGTGGGCCCAGACCCCTGCCTGTGGGACAAAGGGCCTGAGCATCCAGGGCAGCCCCACTTACTGAGCGGAGGTCCCCCAGAGGGAGATGACCCTACAGAGTCAGTGCTGAGACCCTGGGGTTTTCATACACATTAAAGTATTTCTTTAACACCTGGATTTCCATGGGAGTCTGCGCCCAGAAGGCCAGATAAGCCCCTGCAAACTTCCCAAGGTGCAATGGGCCAGGATTGGCTCCACATGTGTGGTCACTCATGTCGGTCCTAGGGCCTTGCTTGGGCCCCTTGTTCATGGTCACTCCATGCCCATCTGTGGCCTTGGCCTGACTGTCCATGTGCAGCACGGTGAGCGAGGCCAGGAGCTCTTGACCCCCATCCCCACACACTTCCTTGCAGGGCTCAGGGGGGCCAATAGATCTAGGGACCCCGTGGGAATGTCCCCCACCCCCACCTCCCTCACAGTCCACCTGCTCCCCCAGGCCCTGGATGGGCAGGTGGGGAGGGGCAGGCTGGCCTGGGCTCTTGGCCACCAGGCCAGGTAGGGAGGCTGTGTCGTGCCCTGCCAGGCCTGCAATTCCTCCGTGCCTGCCAGTGCCCCTCCCGGCATGGGCAGTGCTGTCCTTGGGGTGGGGGCTCCCAGCACTATGAGAATCTGCCCAGATCCCACTGGGGCTCCAGCTTTGGTTGCAAAGCCAGGAATGTGGCTCCTGCCTCCCAGCCAGAAGTGGGTGACTGGGTGGCCGGCCTTCTGACCCTCCCAGCCCTGGGCTGGGCCAGGTGGGGTGGGGAGACAGGGGGGTGTGGGGGAGGGGCTGAGCCAGTAGGAGCACGGAGGAAGGAGGAGGGGCTGCCCTGAGCCCCACCCTTCAAATCAGGTCAAGGAAGGTGATCTGTACCTGGAGGGGTGGGCAGCTCCTCCCCAGTGACCACCAAGGTGACCTCCAGGGCCTCAGGCAGTCAGAAGGGCCAGGCCTAGGTCAGAGCCCAAGCTGCACTGGTGGTCCTGGGCAGGGGCTTTGCATGATGGGGGGACGGGACAGGTCAGGACTGCGGTCGCGGGGGTGAGCCCCAGGAGCTACGCAGGGAGAAGTACTTCCTGTACGGGTGGGAATCTGGGACCTGGACTTCCCCACCCATGAGCTAGGTCAACTCCCTGCTTTTTTCTCAGAGCTGCGGTGGGGGCGAGCGGTAGCCAGGGCCAGGCAGGCGCACGCACATGTGCAGGGCGGCACCTTTGCAGAAGCCTGGCTCCCCCGTAGAACTAAGCTCCCCCAAGGAAGCCCATCTGCTTGCTCTCACCGCTGACCCTGTCCCTAGCTGTCCCTAGCTCCCCAGGGAGGCAGGCCTGTCTGCTGCCTGTCCTGCACCAGGCACACATTCCTTTAGAGATTTGGGAGGCCCTGGGGCCACACCCTTCCTGTCCTGACCTGAGGACACAGCCTTGGGTCCTCGGGTCTGCAGAGTGGTTCCCAAGCAAGCAGGAGGAATGCTTAGCCCGGAGGGAGGGTGTTCAGGACGCTGCAGGGGCTGCCACCAGGGGCAGGGCTGCTGGGGGTGGGGGGTGCTGGGTCCACCAGGGCAGGGCCAGAGCTGGCCAGCTCAGGACAGACGCCCTTCAAAGAGGGATCAAGAAGCACAAAAAAAAAAAAAGAAGAAGAAGAAGAAGCACAGGGCCCAGCTGTCTCGAGGTCTGGAGGGGCCCAGGTGGGTGGGCAGTGAAGGGAGGAAGGCTAGGGCTTCCCCCAACACCAGTGCCCACTTGAGACTGAGGGGACTCTGCTCAGCCCGGGTCCCTTCCTGAGGGCAGGGCAGGGCAGCCTGGACCCTGGCCCTTCCCAGGCAGAGGCTGCTCTGACCTGCCTTCCAGCCAAGCTCGTCCTAAGACCTCAAACAACCTTTCTGCCCCCTACCCCCACTCCCAGATGCCAGGGTGTCTTGGGGAGAACCCTGCCATACCAGCCATGCTGGGGAGGGGTCTCCAGGGGCCCTCCAGCCCAGCCCCACCTCCCAGCCAGCTGCACTGCCCCTTCTGTTGCAGGCAGGGAAATAGGCCCCACTGCAGGGGGCAGTGGGCTTGCAGGGCCATCGGGGCTTCCTAGGACGTCATCCTAGGACGTCATCCACCCCGGTGGGGCCCAGTGGGAACAGACACCAAGGTGTTGTGTTAGTGCCGTTAGAACCACTCCAGAACATCCCGGGCCCTTTCTGCAGGCAGGACCTACCTCCCGAGAGTGCCCTGGGCCGGGGGGGTGGGGGTAGGGGGCTGGCGGGGGCACTGCAGCTGGGCTTGCAGCCCTGAAGGCATCCAGTGCTCCTAGGTGACCACAGTGGTGCCTCAGCAGCACCCAGGCTCCCATGCCCCGTGCACGAGAACCCCCAGACCCCTGGGCTCTTGCCCCTTAGGCATGCAGGTTGGCATCTCCATCTGTACCTTCTTGGCGTGTCCATGAATCCCACACACTTCATCATCAATCACCCTTGGGTACGGTCACCGGTCCCGAGATCGGCCCCTGGCCCGTGTTAGACATCCCAAACCCCCTCTCCCCAGCTGTCACCCGCCAGCACATCACAGGGCTCTCTTAGGACTGGGGCCACATCAGATGGGGGCCCTCTACCCCTCGCAGGGCTCCTGGTTTGGGGCTTCATGCATCCTTTTGCAGATAAACCCGCAGGCATGGATGGGCCTTGCTGAGGCGAAGGATGTCGTACGAGGCCGTCTCCTGGTTGGCCACTGCCTCTGCTGAAGCGCTGCTGACCTTCACAGGTTTTACAGGTTTCGTAGGATACAGATGCTCCTCACACGCACCCCACCCCCGACCCCTCCACCCCACGCCCTGCTGATTCTTATAGTCAGGCTCACGTGTCTGCTGGCCCCACTGGCTCTTCCATGACTTTTCAAGTCCTGCCCCCAGGCCGCCCCCAGCAGGTTCTCTTTCTCACAGCCTCACGCTAGTTTCTCGCTCTCACCCTGTGGCCTGGAGCTCTGCTGGGGTGGGGGTGGGAGGCAGGAGACAGCCAGAGTCCAGGGGGGTGGACGGCACGGGAAGCAGACAGCAGGGCCCCGGGGGTGTGCTGGGTAGGCACGGTGGCCCGCGTGGCTTCACTCACAAAGACTTGAGCCCCCTGGTTTCTCCACCAGACTTGCAAGAGATCCCTGTACACGACCATTGTCAACGAAGCCCTTGTCTATACCCACCCGGCCTTCAAGAATGTATACCCTAAAAAGATGAATTCTATAGAATGCTCTTTCTGCTTCTGTCAGACAATCGTCCAATTTCTCGTCTTACCAAATACATCGAAGCACTTTGTGACGTGAGATTGTCCTGGCATCTTGAGTTCCATCCCCGCTGGATCAAGCTGATATTTTTTAAATTTTGAGTAGAAGAGGCAACTGAGTGGCACAGTCAGTTAAGCATCCAACTCTTGATTTCAGCTCAGGTTGTGATCGTGGGGTCATGAGGTCGAGCCCCACATCGGGCAGGGAGTCCGCTTGATGATTCTCCCTCTCCCTGGCCCCTCTTGCTCACCCACACACTAATAAACACATCTTTAAAAAATATTTTTTGTGCAGCTAATATCTAGGATTAGGATTTCTGCATACACATAAGGAGTCTGTAATCTCGTCTCCTTGTACTGTCCTCACCTGATTTTAGAACCAGGTTATAGCAGCCTCATGAAATGAGGATGAGCCACTTTTCCTGCTTGTAGGGTTTCCAACATAATTCCTATTAAACGGCTTCACCGTGTCTGGAAACTGTGGCACAAGCACCCACACCAGCCGATGTCTCAGGCACTCCTGCGGGTGGTGACCGGCTCCAGGTCCTATTTGCATTTATTTATTTAGTTTATTCAAGTTTTTTTTCATTTCTACCAACACCAATCCTGGCGTTTCATATTTTCCCTCAAAACCTGCCCATTAAAAAAAAAAAAAAGCCAAGTTGCTTGTATGTGGTCACTCATATAACTTTTATATCTCTGTCATGTTTGCGTATTAATTCTTCCTCTTGTATTTTCTCTGTGTTCAGAAAAATCATCCATCTCGCTACTTTTCTTCCTTATTCATTTTCAGAGGAATTACGACTTTTATGTGGATCATTCTCCATCTGTGTGAAGTTTAAATAGATACGAATTCTATGCATAGAATATAACAAATGCGCGAATATGAGCATAGATACGTATAAACCATGTGTGTTAAATCCTACTAAAGTTTTATCACTGCTTGCGTCTGTTTGCTTAACCTGTTTATGGGTTGTGTGTTTTGGGGTTTTTTTAAAGAACACGTTAAAATCTCCAGTTGGCAAAGTTCATTTGAGCTCTTATAGCGTCAGTTCTATGGATTTCCAAGCCTCCGCTGTTAACGTGCATACATCCGCGCGTGGATTTATACACAGCCACTTCTCATTACGCTTTTCAGCCCGAAACATTAAAACTCCCACCCCAGCTTTTGAAGGACTCTGTAGGCTTCCACGTCCATCCCTCTAGGGAAGTCTTTTAACAGTGAAAATCCTGTTCAGCTGCATTAGACGCGTCTGGGTTTTGATCGTCCCTTGTACCCATTTGTGGGCTTTGCTGATGTACTTTCTCACTCTGCTCCATTCTTCCTCCTTCCACTGGAGCGAGGCCGCCCTGCAGGTGGCTGGAAGGCTACCCGTCCTGTCCTTGCAGGAGGACACCTGTCTTAGTAGGACATGTCTGCACACAGGCCTACTCGCCTTGCCAGCGCGACTGTCCATGGTCTGTCGGCGCCCCTCGCCAGAGGGAGGGACCCAGCACACTCTCTCCACCCCTGCCCTGCACGCTCGTGGTCACTGTGAATATTTGGTTCTCTCTGGGACAAGGTGATGCAGGAGACATCCTGGGGAATCTCTCAGCACACCCGCTGGGGTTCTCTCTCTCCTTCCTGGAGAGCATCCTCTGGGTCTGTTTCCAGGTCTGGCTCTGGAGGGTTAACCCCTGAGAGGAACCGAGTTTTATTTTTCAGATACTCCAACAGCACATACACATGTCGACTTTCAAGACTTTTTCTTTAGCACTGTGACAGCAGAACATCGATCGGGTCCTGGTTCCCAGGGTTTCGCTGTGAAGTCTGATGCCACACAGAAATCTGTTCTCCTTTCCTGGGTGCTCTAGGATTTCTCCTTGTTGGTGATTTCCTGAAAGTTCTTTAGATCGTGGGTTTTTTATTCCTGTTCTACGGTGTCACATTCCTTCAGTCTGAGACCATTCACCTTCTGCCCTGAGACCTTCTGTGGTGGCTTCACCTCAATGTTTTTCTTCTTGCTCCAGAGCTTCAGACGGATGTTAGGGTCTCCCTTCATTCATTTCCATTAACCTCCTGTGGCGTCCTCTCCCTCCGAGCCTCCCAACAGTGCACTGGGGACTAGAGAGCCCCCCACCCCAGCTGCACAACCCCCCCCAGCAGCTCGCCCCCCCACCCCCCACCCAGCACCACGGCCAAGACCAGAGAGCCTGCTGTCCAGGCAGCGCCAGGCCGCGCCCCGCAGCTCCCTCCCGGGCCGTCATCACTGCAGCTCCTGGAACTGCTTCTTCAGCAGCCTGGCTCTCTTGTCCTGCAGGCTGGCTCCGTGTCTCTTCCTGGGGCATTCACTACACTTATCTGAAACCCTTGACACTACAACACACTAACTTGGCTTTTTCTGCCACAGGCTGTTCCCTCGTCTGTTTGAGGGGCTGAGGCTACTAGAATCCTCCTTATTTTCCTCCCTGAGATCCTCTGTCTTGAGGAT